AATTCAGGATCTTAAATTCCTTTAAATATGAAAGAACCAGATGGGAACTAGAAAAAGGAACATGGGCTTTGAGGTCAGACAGACCAGAGGCTGAATATTCAGTTTTCCTCTTGGGTTTGACCTGGGAAGTTATCTCTCAGGCTCCATGTCTATACTACAAATGATGAGACTGGAGTCAAGAAGGTGAACCCAGAATGTATTGCTCACCTTTCATGGGAAATCATACATATGAGTGAATAAGCTTCCTAAGGGATGGTTTGTACATGTAGTGAAATGACTTACAGTGAGATCAAAGTCGTCACAGAGACTCAGGGACTAAGAGTGGTACATAGGAAGGAAAGCTGAAACTCAAGTACCTGGGAATGTTTTTACAAATCGATCGTAATCTAGGTGGAACCTAAAGAGGTAAGGCCAGCAGCAAGAACTCACTGGGGTGTTTGCACTTTGTAAGTGAAACGAGACCAGCTGACTCTCCAGCACCTTCCGCGATGAGCGCAGAAGCTTGTCGTGACGGCGTTGAGATCACTCAGCCTTTCTTCTTCTGCACCCTTGTCCTTTAAGTAGCCTTCTACTGATGACCTGGGTTCTCTCAGCGTTGTCCTACAGAAACGGAGGTCTGCTCGGCAGATAAAATTCTCATTGTAAATTAATAAACTGGAATTCCATAAATTAAGACACGAAGATATGCCTTTTTTCCACCTAGTCAGAGGAACAAATCCAATTGTTGGTGATGATGTGAAGACATTGCAATAAAAGACTTACAATATGCATATTCTTTGACCTAGCAATCCCCACTTCTAAGAACGGATCCTAATAATTGAAAAAAGTGAGCAGAGATGAACATAAAAGTATGCTTAGTACTGTTAAATATTTAGTGTTTTAAATACAATTATAAATATTTTAAAAATGTGTAATCTAACTTCAACATGGGATTTGTGACAGGCATGATGGTTTAGCCGCATAATGCAACAATGGAGGACTGCTCTCCAGGCCGGATTATGCTGCAGTCAAAACACACATCCATCCCCCTACCTGACTGGACTAATACAACAAAGATTTATTTTTTCGTTATGCAAAGTCCGCTCCAGGTTCAGGGAAGCTGGGTTCCATGGGATGGCTTGGTGTCATACTTCTCTACCAACATGTGCTTCTGGGACTACCCCGGCTGAGTCTCTCACCTACAGTTAAATGCTTCTGCCCGCACTTCATTGGCTAAAGCAAGTCCCGTGGCCTGACCTGATGTCAAGAGCTGGAGGGTGGCAACCTCAGTCAGCGCTAACAGCCACTGCAACCATGTAGAACTGCAAAGGCTAACGTGGAGCTCTGCTTATTGGCAGGGCAAACTATCCATAATGCATCAAGTAGGAAAAAAAAGCGTGGTCCCGTTAAAAATATATCCTATGAGTATGTGTTACATATGCATATAGGCATTTAAAAAGACACTGGAAAGATATACAGCCTAAGTTCAGTGATGTTTTCTCTGTGTAGCAGGACTAAAAGTTTTAAAGAAACCTTTTTACATTTTTTGATATTGCCTTTTGACTCTTCTATTATAATAAACTTATTATTTTGAGGATGAGAGAAAATACAGCTCTATCTCTTTAATAGCACAGTAAACTGCCATTCTGGTTTTCAAATCAGCATTTTACCAGTTAAGCCAAGGAATCACTTCTCTGCTGTCCGAATCACCCTGTGTTTACTGATACCTCGGCGGTGAGGGGAAGACAGGGGCACAGACCCTGGCATCTCGTCAGGGCTCTGTGCACTCTGGGAACCGGGACCGCCCGAGCCCTCCGACTCCAGGGCTTCATGGACTTCAAGAGGACGGTCATTCCCCCTTCCCTTACATAAAACACCCACTACACACTAGCATGTTAAGGCAGGTGGCCTGAAGAAGGCAGTGCTTTCAAGTCAGACAGACAGACAGACAGGATCTTCTTGGTTTTCTCATCTGTAAATGGAGACAATAGTGACTGGCTGAAGTGGCGCCAGGATTGAATGACAAATTTGGTAGAGCACCCAGCACCCCAAAGGTGCTAAACACACAGTAGCTGTTACTATCCCCCTGTGTCCAGATCAAATATAAGAAAAGCTAAATTAAGCCACAGAGTAACAAGCAAGGAATATTTTATTGTACGTATTTTTCTCAAAAAACCCCACCCCACAAAAACAGAACCCACAAATAGGAGCAAAAGACAAAATTTTCTAGCTCTCTGGGATCCGCAGGGCACCGTTATCTTATAGAAACATAGCTTGTACAGGGACAGAATGTACTAATCAACATTGCTCTGCTTCCCCAGTCAAAAAAGGCTATAGAGAAAACACCTTAAATTGTATTCTAATGTAGATTTGTGGCACAATTAAACATCAACTTACTCAAAGAGTTACTGTATAATAAACTGGAGAAAATAGAGTAGGCTTTCAGTAATCTGCTCACAATTAATAAATATAGCATGTATCACTTATGTGTTAAGCCTAACATTTATAATGAGCAGATGACTTATCATTAATAGTAACTGGTTTCTTAACATTTTAAGAGACATCAGATCCAGTAGCGGAGGGAGAAAATAATTTAAAGAAAACTGATTTTAGAAAATAGCTCCTTGGGTGTGAGCCACCGTGGTGTTTATTACATATTTAGGCCAGTGTCAACCGTTTAAAAATGTGGGTACTAACCAATTGAATTCTTTATGAGGAGTCGTCTAGAGCATTTTTTCTTGTTTATAGCCTCTGGTCAGCAAGGCAGGGCGGGCGAGGATGAGTCAAGGACAAGGCAAACAGGGATTTACAATGAAGTGAGTAGTCTTTCCCCCTAATGTTAAAGGGGTATTTATATCACTTGTGCTATTAAAGGACAATTTAAAAACATGTTTAAAGCAAAGAATTGCCATTTTCTTATCCTATACATACTAGATCTAAACAAAGATTTTCTCTAACATTCTGTGCTTCTTAATCCTTTTGTACGAAGGAACATGAAAAACCAGTAAATGTTATGTAAAGAACTATTTTCAATGACCTGTTGAAGAGTAACGCAAAGTAAGGCAATAACTAGAAGCCCAGCTATACTGTCCTTATGCGCTCAGTTGGTAAAATTGAGAAAATAATTTTTGCCCACTTGTATAAAAAATATTACCCCCTTTGCTACTTCGTGTGTGACGGACAAGGATGCCATGTGTGCTTTCGAACAGAAAAATACCGTGCTCGGGCGGAGAGAAAACTATGTGGAAACGCCTCCTTTCCTTCGCCGATACCTCACTCCAGTTCTTCCTGAAATACGCATTTCCTTGTTTATTAGCCTAACCTCTTCGGAGGCGCTATCACAAACTTACAGACTCTATGGAACATTGGGTTCTTCATTAAAAAAAAATGGTTTAAAATAAAAAGAGGTTTGAAAGCTATGGCATATTCTCAGCAGCGGTGATGCTCTGTTTAGTTTACCACAGACATTAAAAAAAAATAATCACATTTTACAGAATAATGAAAAAGAAAACCACAGTTCAGCACTCTTCATTGCGGCAAGGAATTGATCATGTCCGATTTTCCCTTCAGGACTTCATAAAATCCCCAGGATAGCACCTCTGTGTGGGCTGAACCAGAACTGAACTCAAGTCAACATTCAACACTGCCATTTAAGAGTTACCATCACTCAATTTTCCTTCCAGATTATATTATTAATGTACATTGTGCAGACAGCCTAGGAAAAGTTTTGAAAGGAAACATTTTATCTTTTTTCCGGTCATATAATACAAAAATTACAAGGCGCAACACAACGCTTCAGTCTTATTTCTGCAGGCGGGCCAATTTTCAAAGCAGATCGTGCTAAAGGAGAATGTGCCTCCCCGGCGTCCGTCCCCTTGTCATGTGTGTCCCTTAGCATTAGGACATTTCAGTTGAACTGCCTGTCCAATGTTACAGTCCCTCTTAGCTGTAGTTAAAAAACAGATTGAGTCCCTTAGTTGTATCGTAACGATCTCAACGCAGTAATGCAATAGTGAGTTTTTAACAACATCCATTAGTAAGACTAATAAAAATACTGTTGCTATTTTTAAATTTATCCTTTAAAAAAGTAGATCTCTCTCCATTTACTTCCACAGTCCTAAAGAAATAGATACATGTACTATTGTTAAAAACAATCAAACAATAAATATTTGAATATTAAAAGTAGGTCCCCCCTCCCCCACTGCTTCCCTGTCGTGGAACCAAGTGGCCAAAACCCTTTCGAACACCATTTGATACAACAGATTTTGCAAGTTGTTATGAAAGCAATTCACAAGTTGGGAATTCCTGTGCAGGACCCAGTTAACGACTATTGTTCTGGGTTACCAATTTCCTTCCATGAAATATTAATAACATGAGTTACAACTACAAGTCAACAATGGTTAAAAGGCTTTGGAGTTCTCATCTGAGGTGCCTGTTAAATTGCCACAATGTCACGGGGGGCTCACCTTGGAACTAGACATAGAAAACGTCTGTTTGGAGGACTGGGCTGCTCCGTGGAACACAAGGATCATTTCCCACCGCACGCCTGCTGGTAGCTGGGTTCTCCAGCAGTCGTGACTCATGGCAATGACAAAAAGTCAGGCGGCTTGTGTGACTCCCATGCTAATGGCACCATAGAAACGTTTTGTCCTCGGAGCACATGTGGGGGGTGGGGGGAGCACGTGGACTGCCTTGTCAATACGGAAAGTTCACAAGTCACTCGCAGCAACCGGGAGGTTGGCCCACGGCACACTGACAGCAGGAGAAACAAGGGAAGCGAGTGAGCCAGACACTTAGTGCGGATGAGGGCCCTGAAGAGAACAGACATCTTGAACACGTCCGTCCAGCACTAAGTGTAAAGCGTGCTCGTGCCCTGCCAGCCCTTGAGGCGGAACCTCTGGGCTCTGAGGTTCCTACTGTGCCCCCTCAAGGGAGAGAGACAGCCTCTCTTCTCCACTCAGGCGCCAACCCCCGCGCCAGGGGCCCTGGGGCCCAGCAGGTGGCGGGGAGGGGGAGGCGGGTGCGGGGGAGGTGTGTGTGCACTTGCAACTGCGTTCAGGCAGCACCTCTTTAGTTCACTATTTTTTTTTTTTCTCTAAAACTCTCATTTCCTAGATCAATCTTTTAGTCCACATCAGCTCACTGTTCATGAGGAAGTTTCGTTGAAGGAACTCCATTCGTCTGGGAACCACAGCAGGCGAACCTCTTCCATATTAGTCCCCACAGCTGGTTTCCACAAGTACCCCCAAAACACACCTTGACATTTTTATTTTCTTTTGGAAAGTGTTGATCTGTGTTTAAGTGGCCACTGTCCGTTCACGAGACGGTGACTGTGGTGCCACAGGGAAGGGTGGCATTTGGTACAGGCTGCCGCTGGGCAGTGTGGACCGCGCCGCTCTGGGTCAGTGCGGGGAAAAGCCGGTGGCCAGGCTGCAGCCCACCACGGGCGTCATGTCCCATATCTGCAAGAAAGAAGACGCGGAGGCCGCACGGGTCACCTGGCCCCCCGGGAGAGCCAACGCTGACCCCAGCGGCCAAAGGAACTCATTCTCTCAAAGCAAAACTGCCTCAAGGTCATGGTGACAAAACACTGAACATGAAGAAAGCTCTTAGGTATATCCAGACACCGGAAAATTACATCCGCATGATGGCTCCACTGGGAAAAGGCCCATTTTTTTAAAATTATGAAATAATATGTGTCATAGTTTCACAACTCAAGAGTGGTACTGAATATAAAAGTTACTTTTGGTTTCTGTGTTAGTAGCCTAGGGAATTAGTGGGTGTTTCTTACACCTAGAAGCCTTCTGTCACCAGTGAAAGGAGCATGACCATGGGAAGGAATGACTAGAGCAAGGGGTCAGCTGGGCAGGGGGAAACCCTGGGCTCGCTCGGCCAGGCCGCGACGGGGGTGCCAGGCAAAGGGAAACGCCGAGGGGTGAGCCAAGGCCAAGGGCGTGGAAATGCACAGGCATGCAGCTTGTTACCATGGGTTTTCAGGCTGCTTATATCAAGGGAAGGCAAGCTTGGCAATCAGAAAGCGGGACTGCACTGGAAATGTCTCACGCCCATCTGCAGCATGACAAGGGAGCAAGCTACGTTGAGCTGCTAATTGGGACAATTAAGTAGGTTACCTTTACAATGCGATCGGTCCCACAGGTCACCATCAGTCCCCTGGCAACATCCATGGACATGTGGGAAATGTTATGCTTTCCTTCATGAAAGGTTGCTAGAGAAGTGCGACTAACAAAAAGAAGAGAGGCCATTTAGAACACGCCTGACTGTGCCTGGAGCTAAGGGAGACATTTTCCTAGCAACATAAAGGAAATACAGCTGCCCCTGAGCAACACACATGTGGCTGCGTGGGTCCACTAATATGCATACTTTTTTCAGTAAACACCTACAGTACTATAAATGTATTTTCTCTTCCCTATACTTTTCTTAATAGCATTTTCTTTTCTCTAAATTACTTTATGGTAAGAATACAGTATGTAATACACATAATGTATAAAATATGTATTAAACAACTCTATGTTATCAGTAAGGCTTCTGGTCAACAGGAGCTAGAGTTTCAGAGAGTCAAAAATTAATTGTGGGTTTTCAATTGCCAGGGGTTCCAAACCCCAAACCCGTGTTGCTCAAGGGTCAACTGTACTTATAATCATATTAAAATGTGCTCCCAAAAATGTGGCTTCAGTTTTGAAAACTAACTTTATGATTTAAGGATGAGAAAAGCATGGTAAGTTGTAAGACTGTTTTATGAAATGTTTATAAAAATCCCCAAATGACCACTTATTTTGTTGTTGTTTTTTGTTTTAGTGGAAAGGTCATATACTCCTAGACATAAATACAAGCACCTTCACTGTAGAAGAGGAACTGCCCCGCAGGAGGTTGCATGGTGCAGGCAAACACTCACAGGAGGCTGAAGGCTCCCCCCAGGGCTCTGCAGCGACCGAGGAGCAGCTCGGCCCCGAGGCCCGCGGGCCCCGCCTTGCGACGTGCTCACCGACCAGCACCGCCCGTGCCCCCAGCTTTCCAACCTGGGCCCCTGCCAACGTTGGCCCATCTACTACTTTCAAAAATGACTCAAAGGGAAGGGAAAGAAAATGATGGTTCTGCCCTAGTGGATCTGCCTGAGTCAGGGCAGAAAGGGGAACAGACAGAAATGTCTTTGCACAAACAGTTATTTAAGAACAGACTGCTAAGTCAGCTCTTGGTGGGAAGAAAAACCATTGGTCTCTAGAGTTTTCCCAGTAATTAAATTTCCATGCACGTGTGAGCAAAGATGAGAGAAGCTTTCGGAGAGGACCAGCTCAGCCACTGCATCCGTGTGCACATGGCCTTGACCCCATACAGCACCGTGGGTGGCACGGGGGCTCAAGAATGTCTGCTCAGCAGCTGGGCCAGTCCTAGCAACATCAGTCCTCATAGTGTCTGGGAGAAATCTGTCTATATTTGTCATAAAGCTAGAATGGAACCCTCTGTTTAGAAACCGTTCGATATCGGGAAGAAACAAACATGTAGACAGAAGTGCACCCATGCCTCTTCCCATTTCAGATGCACATAGAGACAGGCCCCCACTCACTCCTCATCTTTGATGGAGTCGTAACAGGAGTCACACATCCGGACCTGGAACTCGAAGCCCATGACGGGGTAGCTGGAGCGCTTGCTGCTGCACTTCCCGCAGACGGCCTGCCCGCACTTCCTGCAGTGATGCTTCAGGACCACCGGAAGGAGGGAAAGGGGTGGTTAGCTTTGGCTTCAATGCACTGGTTTCCCTTCAGAGGAGGGGAATGGATGGAAGTGGGAGGAGGGGCCTTGAATTACAATTGCTCCAATGCCATGCAGCAATTAACACAGAAAAGGCAGATAATTTCAATATCTGACAAGGATTTCCAAACAGTTTTACTGTATTGGTCGAATACTGCTTTTTGTTCATTCATACTATGTGTTGACATCAACATAAACTATTAAAATCAAGTTCAAGTTTACATAGGAGACCTAATGACTAGAGATTTCAGGAAGGAAAAAAGTCTATTCTGTGTTAAAAGAAAGTTACGTAATAAGGTCTTAAAGGTAATATATCCTCATTAAAAAACCAACATCCATAATCAGATGTTTTACTATTTTTTTTAAGCCCTTCAAATTGTGACTCTGGAAATAAGATTCAAGAATATTCCAAAATAGTCCAGTTGTTACTGATTTGAATATACTCTTTTACCACTAAGAGGCCTGCCTCTATATATCCTCTCCTATTAGTTGTTAATTTGTAAGATTAAAATTAATTTCCTTTAGGAGTCAGGACTTCTTCACCCATCAATTACCATGCACTAGTTACCACCAGACGTACACTGTGAGAACTTGGCTAATGAAACAGCTCAGGTGCTGTTTTCAGAGCATGAGAAAGTTTTTAAGTGCTGAAAGAATTCCTGCATTGCCTGACAGTCTCATATTAGACCTTGCTGGAGAACAGATCTGTAAGTCAAATCAAAGAAAATTTATCACACACACAGACTTTAGGCCAATCCTTCAGAGGGGTGCAAGCAGTAATAAAATGAATAAAATCAGCCTTCTTTCTTTACTTATACAAATTCATACTACAGCTCAGGGAGTGGCTACCTTCAAGTCTGCTGTAGAAATATATACATACACATACATACATACATATATATATATATAGTTGAACTTTAATATTAGTGATAAGAGCATCTTTGAAATGTGCAGGTTATTTGGGACATGTTTCTTTAATTTAAAAATAAAAAATGGTACCTGAAGCATGTTTACCTCAGGTAGATTTATGTGGAACAATTTAGGACTAATCTAAAACTATTAGTGTCACAGTATTCCAGTGAGGGCTAAATCGTTCCTTTTTATGTTTGTGAAGGTATAAGCTTGTATACCCTAATTCATTCTAATTTGGTGCTTAGTATGAAGCAGCGACTTTAACAATAGTCCTGAAGTGAAAGACGTGTATCTGCTTTCAGACAGGCTCTCCGGTTTTCCACGCAGCCCTGGCTTTCCAGGGCAGGACAAGCCGTGGGACAGTTAGGTAACAGTCTCATCAGCCGCGGGAAAAGTCTTGCTTATTATTACCAGACAACAACGGTGAAATCAAAAAAGCATGAATTAACAGCATGTATAGGGAAAAGTGTGATTCCAAACAAAATGACAGACTAATTACGCAAACACCAGAGGACATAATTAACGCGGCGGAGAGTCGATGCTGGCTGCGCACCTGCCTCAACCCCAGGGTCTTCGTGTCCCACATCTGCTTTATGTTCCAGAAGAAGGGCTGCTCGCATTTCTGGCAAGAGTCACTTTCCAGCCACTGAGGAGCCTGGGGAGGAGATGGGCAGAGCCGGCATCAGCGCAGTGACTTTTCAGAAATTCATACAACAGTTCTAGACATTGTTGAGGTTAGCATTTCAAAAATTCCTCAGTGTAGTATGGCTACTGACACAGTCAATATTATGTTTGTGTTTGAGTAATCTTTATAATTTTAGAAATGTTGGCAGGATTGTTCAATTTTCAATCTATAGGGAAGGGGAAAGAATTCAGTTTTCATTGTGAACTCTTATAGAGTTGTTTTTGTAATATGTATCATTTTTATGCCAAACTAATTTGAAATCTTCAACCAGTTGAGCAAAAAACCATTTCTTGCAGAACCTGGCAAACTGCCACTTGGGACAGTTTGTGGTTCCCACAGTGACTAACAGGGGAGTCCGGGGGTGGGCAGGAACCACGCCCGACAGATTTCCCACCTCCCGCTGCCAGCGCTCCCCAGGGCTCCCCCACCCTGTGCCCCCACACCGCCGGCCCACAGGCCTCATTCCAGCAGCGAACTCTCTACCATAATTCCTTATGAACGTTTCCTTCCCCCTCCACTACCCTATGAGATACTCATTGGTCTTGTTCTTATTCATCTTTGCATATGCACAGCTTGTCACGGAATAGGTTCTCAATGAGTTTTTGTTGAAATAGGGTAATGAAAGTCTTGAAATTACTTTCCTGAAAACTTAGAAAATATTTCTCTAAACAAAACGTGACAAATGGCACTCAATAACAAGATGAACCTGTTGAAAGCCTTATTTAATGTCAGTTATCATTATGGACTGATCATACAGTATACAGGAAATAAAAATAGAAAAAACTAATTTCTAAAGAATTAAACCAAACAGAGACCATTAAGTAAGAAACCATCTTGAACTTGGAAAGTTAACACTCGAGAAAAAATGACACCTGAGAAGAGGGGACCACGACGGGAGGACCACAGACACGGAGCCATACTGTTCCCGCCTAAAGTGTGCGCGGAGAAGGTGAGTCCCAGGGAGGCCTCCAAACAGACTCCAGTGCCATAAGGGCGATGGCCCTAGTTCTCTCGTTCCTGTTGCATCGAAACTGTTGGCTTCCCTGCTTCTTCCTTTTGGGTCGCTAGAAATATTTCTACTTCTGCCGGCCATTACAAAGTCATCCCTTCGGGGAATGGGTGCTCTCACAAACAGAATGCCGTGGGCGGAGCAAGAAGACAGGCGGGTTTCTTTACATAATGGGGCAATGCTGGAAATAAGAAGGGAGGGCAGGAAGGGTGAGGGAGATTACCGTCCTGACAGAGGGACACTCTTGTCGCTGTGACCGACAGGAGGGGGAAGGTGGTTTGGGAACACTGCCCCTGAGTGATGTCCCCGAGCGGCACAGAGGACACCGCAGCTGCTGCCAACAGCGTGGGGATGTTTAGTTGCGGGGGAAGGAAAGCAGGTACTGATGTCTAGTTTTAAGTTGGGGACACATGCCGGTGTGACTCCCGCATACCACACATATGAGGAAGAGCCACGTGGACAAAAAACAGTGTACAACGTGTTCCCGAGAGCACCCTTCAGGCATGAGGACACAACTCAGACAGTTCGCGGATTAAGTGAGTATGCCATTCATGAAGTGTTCTCACATGCCAGGCGGTGTGCCAAGTGTGGTGTATACCTTATTTCACTTAATTTTCATCATACGTCTCCGAGATACAGAACGACATTTCACAGGCAAAGAAATGGGGGCTCAGAGATTGAAGCAACCGTCTGTGGTCAGTGAGTGGGTGGGGATCATGGGGGGGCCCCAGGGTTCCAGCTGAGTCTCTGCCCTTGCGCATGATGTTCCATACCCCCTCTGTCTGTAGGTCCCACCCATTCCCCCATGCGAGGGTCTCTACACATGGTTCTGAGATATGATGACCAACAGAACTGAGCCCCTACTCTCAGGAAGCATGACTCTTTCTAAGGGTTTAGGAAGGGATTTCACCCTGCTGAGCTGGAGGCTAGAGGGGCACATGGGAAGAAAAATATGCTTCAAATAATTTGAGATAAACTAAAAACCAAAACCTGAAATAAACAGGCTTTTGGCACACATTTAATATAAGAAATACTTGTAACTGTCTCTTCTAATAGGATTAAGTGTTAGGCTGTGAGCTATCATGAACAATCCTATTATATGCTTATTCTCTAAAGAGAAAAAGTTTTGTTTTGTGCTGAGAAGGACAAAAGAGAACATCAATCAAATATTCTGACCATTTCAGTCTCTTTTCTGCATCTTGTTCCATTTGCCTAATCTGGACAAAGATGATGTAACAAGAACAATGCCACAGCACTTCTGCTAACCTACTTTGCACCAATGCATAAAATATTATACATTCTGCGACCTACTAATTAGAAATAAAGTTCTCTTTTCAAGAGGATTCATCCTAATTATTGTCACATGCTCATTTGTGTCTCACGCCTACTTCCAAAAAGGGGCTCCTCTGATTACGGTCTGGGGGAGGGAGGCAAATCTGCTTCCCACCTGTGCGTGTGGCACTGGCAGCCACCCGTGGGCTGGCCATGCTCCAGTCGCCTTCCAGGTGACGCAGAAATCCTGGCAAGCGTCGTGGGGCCAGGGAAGCTGGGGTTTATTCCCTGTGCCCTTGCCTAATTGTACAAAACCCTAACTCAGGGTCAAAACCTTATACATCACAGGCTGGTTATGTCTGCATTGATATTTACTCAGTTATTAAAAAAAAAAAAAAAAACCAAAAATGATGCACTTTTGGTACAAATTGCTTTCCCACCAACACTGCCAACCATTGAGACAGGTAAGCTTATAGGAAAAAGTGTGTTACTGGCTGGTACGCACAGGATTGGGGGTAATGTCTTATAAATGACTGAAAAGAAGAAAGCGGCCCATGCAGAAAGCGCCTTGAATGATGCGGCTGTCCCTTCTCTCCCTAGATGTACAAATAATTCCTAACTATTTTTTCTAAGAGAACTTACTAAGGAAAAGGATAGTGGGTTAAAATCCAAGCTGTTAAGACCTTGGAAGAGCCCCTAGTACCCACTGGGCCCCATGGTCCCCTCCCTGGTAACCCGTGGAGCACATCCTCTGAGTTTTCCAGTCTCAGAATAAAATTGACACGTGACAGAACAGTATAGCAGCTGTTCTTGATGTGTTCGACTAGCAGCTGATAAATATAAAACGCAGTTCAATAAACCTTTGCAGAGGAAGTATGACATACTCTGTAATATTAACCAGTGTTACATGTTTCTTATGAAGTTACTCTAAGCCCTACCAAAATATTTTCAGAAAATTCAAAAGAGATATTAAGCAATAGACATGTGATCAAGGTTTCCTCTACTTGACTTATAAGGTCACTAAAAAAAAACACCTGGCAATTGGTACTTGTCCATATCATGGGCTGTGTTTATTATTTATAGGGTACTGTATTTCTATCACTAGATTACAAGCTTCTTGCAGGCAAGGACCTTTGTAGATAGAACGCGGTAACTATGAAGTTTGGAAATGAGTAACATCACCACTTTTTTTAATAGTTTGTACCCGCTTGATTTCATCTTTCATGGTATGCTAAAGATGCAAGTTCATTCAGTGAGAATCAGACGCACAGGTAACCACAGGCAACGCAAAGCGGACACACGCATGGGACGCTCGAAGTCCTGCATCCACCCCCGGGGGGTACTGGGATGGTGCCCCAGCACACCGACCCATACGCTGTGCAAGGACAACACCCTGAGCAAAGCACGTGACATCAGTCAGCACAGGGTGCATGGCAGTGCAGCATCAATCAACCATTTGCGGTGTATATTCACTGAGTTCCCGACTTTATGGCCACCCCGTAGGTGCCCAGTAAATGTTTCTGAAGTTAATCTCTAAGTCCTTAACACTCCTCTTAACTCTCAAGTCTTGTCTGGAGCCAACTTTTCTGCTGTCTATGTCACAGGCTGTCGATGCCATTTGGAAAAGACAGATACTTCCCACTCTCGCAGAGATAAGAATGGAAATCCTGCCTGGGGATCATCTGACAACATCTATAAAAAGCCTTAAGAATGTACATACATATTCTTGGCCCAAAATGTCTGTTTTCAGAAATCTGCCTGCAATAAATAATTAAACAATGACAAGGTCAAGAATGTTCGCTGCAGCATTATTTAAAATAGGAAAAAAGACAGATGGTTTAGACAATTGGAGTGTCTGCCTAAAGCACTGAAGGGGCCTAAGAAGTCACCTCCTTTGACTATTTCACATTATGGAAGGATAACAGAGACTCAGGGAAATGAAGGTACTTATCTAAGCACGGCCTCACGACTCGTTAGTGGCGCAAAGAAGTTAGAACTCAAGTCCCTTCAAGAGAACAGGGTGTTGACATGGACTCAGTGGAACAGAACTCAGTGGAAAATAAAAGCAGAGAACAGAGACATATTTTTCCAGAAAAACGTCAGGCACCCAGCTATGTCCCTGGTGTAGCCCCTTCGCAGGGTTTCCTAACAGGTCTGCTGCGGGGCCACTGCAGTGCCATCGTTCCCAGGACACGCTGGAGGCTGTCTCCAGTGTCCCCTTGGTGTATTTCTCAAGGCTGAAAGGAAGCCGAATGCCCCATCTGTGAGCACTGCTTGTCCCTGTGGGAACTTACACGAGTGGAGGATGCAATGCAAAGTGACACGCAGCACCGTCTGCACCTGAGCGGGCATTTACAGGGGGCGGGGTGAGAAACCGGCGAGCCGGGATCTTGGGGACAGCCCCTCATCAGCCGGGCCTGCCCCTTCTCTTACCTCCTCTCTGCTGACGTCCATGTTCCACACCGCAATCCCTCCGTCCGAGGAGCAGGAGATGAGCTGCCTCGTGAGCTGCAGGTAACACAGCGACTGCACCCGGTCACTGTGGACAACACACACCAGCGCTTGTGTCAGGGTGGGGAACACAGAACCTCTTCACGGAGGCCCTGCTCTCTCCCCTCGTCAGAAGCAGCCACTGGCATTTTATCGCTGACTCTGGTACGGTAATGTGGATTCGGGTGTCAACTGCCTGGCATTCTCTAACTTGCTACACAGAATAATAGTGTCTATGAAACAAGCACTACTTTCAAGTCTGTCAGTAAGACCTGCAGGTCAGAGGCGGTGACAATGGTGTTCTGGACCAATCACCGTCTCCTTGTCAGGTGCACAAGATTTACCTACTTGTTCAGAAACAAAGGCCAAAGGAGGTGTACCTCCGTACTGGAACACAGCCATAACAACAAGTGATCACACACGCTCGCTCACATGCTCACACATGTACCCACACGCACACACACAGGAAGGCATCTAAATGCCCTGGAAAACAATCTGCTGCCTGGAGGCTTGCGTGGAGAACCTTTCCTCGGCTGCTTTTTGGCTTCATTCTGATTAAGGTCAACGGAGATGGCCTAACCAACAAGGAGGATAGGGTTCCTTTTCCTTTCAAGACTAGACAGCAAGAGCTGGAGGATTACAATGTCACAGCTCAGTATGGCTACGTCAAACCGCACGTTTGTTCTTAATGACATACATTTAGAATTCAAGGAAACCAGTTAGGCCTCCATTTAGAGGATGGCTTAGTATCACATTACACACAATCTTTCTCTGGTCAAAGTCCTCCCTTAAGGTCCCTCGCCTTAAGCAGATTTTAACTGGGTGACTCACTGGGAACAAAAGGTGGGAGGTGCTCTTTGAACTAAGAAGGAAGAAAACCCTGTGTTCTTCTTTTTCCCTTTTTGCTACAGAATGCCAGACATCAGGACTAATGGAAAAGCAATTAAAAGTGGACTCAGTGAGCTCTATCGAAACACTCATGTTTCCCCTGCCTTCCCTAAACTCAGATTCTCTCCCCACCCCCACGACCGGTCACGCACTGATGGCCCTGGAGCAAGAGCGTGCGGCCTTTCCTTCCTCCGATGTCCCACATGATGATGCTGTTGTCAGAGGCTCCTGAGAAGAGTAACCGTTGGATAGGGTCCCACCAGAGGCAGGCGATACTACCTGTGGACAGAGAAGGGAGAGAGGGAAGGAGGGAGGGAGGGGAGAGGGAAGGAGGGAGAGTTGAGAGGGTGGGGATGGAATTGGTTAACTATAACTGTGTGTTAGGTCACACACATTTGACAGCTGAAGACCTGACTAGCACAGCTGAGTCTTTCATTAAAACCCTATCTTTGTTGTACAAAGGGCCATTCAACACTTTGTCACGAGTCATGGAGAAGAAACAGCATCCATTCTCACATGGTGTGACATTAAAACCTCAGCTGTACATCAAGTCACTTTAAATACAAAGAGGTTTCAATAAATTTTTCCTTGCTCTGCACCACAAAATTATAAACAGCTGTATACAAAGGGTGAGTTCAGAAAAAACTTTTGAAAAAAGAATACTATTAATATTTAATGAGAAAAGTCAGTTAGTTTACTGTGGTCATCTCATATAAAATAATCTAGATTATTGCAGGTCTCTGGAATCGTGCAGGTGAGTACCCCAAGATGGCTGTGTTTAAGAAAATTAAGTGCCTCCAAAAAAAAAAAAAAAAAAAAAGTTTGCAGGTAAACCACACAATTATGCCAAAGAATTGATTAAAAAACCCAAATCTTACATTTCATACTCTATCTTGACTAAATGTATTCGGTTAGATACCTTAGAGAAATCTTTCTACAGATCTCATCCTAATGCTGCTTGCCTAAAAGAAAATGATTAATAAACTTAATACAACTGAACCAGTCATATAAGCTAATAATGTTTTTGGTGGGTATATAGTAAACAAATGAAGCCATATTCAAAGGCAAGCAACAGACCTGGTTTCTCAGAGAAACTTAACAGAAGTGGTGGGCGGGGGGAGCATTCTGCAAAACTGGCTTCAGGGATAATTTTGTATAAATCCTGAACCTGTTTAAACCTATGCCCTACATCCTTCATCTGGAGACCCAATTGCAGGTACAGATCTTTCTATATGAACACGCCTCTGTAGTTACCAGAACTCAAGAGCCTGGAGTCACAAGACTATTAGTCATAAACAGAAAGTGGTATCTTCAGGGGCTGGGCTTCCCTGCCCACGTTATTCTCATTTACTTTTCTTCTCACTCCCTTTTCCTCTACAAGGTCCCTGTCTGATTGACTTGATTTCACCTAAATATATTAAGTTAGCGTGGAGAACACTTAACTTGTTATACTTAAGACACTATTTTCATAAAAGTCCATCATTAATTCTTTTCAACAAATCCCCAGTTCCTTCATCTCAACCAGATGGCCTCAAAGCTTCTAATTTGCTACCCAATACAGCCGGCTGAGGTTTAAAACCCTTTCCTGGAGACTCGCCAACTCACCGCACTGTAGAAATAATGAAATTCCACCTGGTCACTCTTTCCCCTCAGTCCCTACCCAGGGGAGGTTTCCCACGTAGAGGCAGAACCAGCCCATATATTTCTTCTAATTGTATTGACCCACTAAGTAGGCCTTGTTCACTGTCTTACAAACTGACAAATTACATTCAATAGTAACATCCTTACAAGGGTTTCACCATTTATAAGAAACTTTAAAAGATCTTTGAAAAACAATTTACTTGAAAAAGGCACACAAAGTAGCACGTATAATCCACACAAGCAATCCAGAGGGGATTTTGACAGTAGGGAACCAAACCCAACGCCCTGCCTTCACTTAGTTTTCACATTTTAAGATCTAAATCCCCTCTGTGGCCAATCAAGGTGAAATCTGACAGGCCAGAAGGCACCGATCATTCATGCAACCACAGAGCCGAGAACTAAATTTGGACACCCAAATTAGATGGAAAGCCTGTGGGGGGCGGCGCAGCCTACCTTCGTGTCCTCTGAGGGTTGTGATAACGGAACAGGCGCTCTGTTCAAGCTTCAGCAGGGTGATCTGGCCGGAATAGTCACCAACAAAAGCATACTGAGTATCAAAGTCATACCTGTGGGGTGCAGTCAGGAATCTCTAACTCAATCCGTCTCAAAGTTATAAGGCAGAAAGTGTGGGCTTTAAAGAGAGTGCGCACAAGCCTGAAACTATGAAAAAGGAAATACCCAACTGAAAATCATGCTACATGCAAAGACTGAAGAAACAGGGGTTAAGCTGGAATCACGGTGACAATTAATATGCAATCATTCAACAAGAATTCATTGAGTACCTGTTATTACTGTAACCAATATCCTAGAACTTGGCAGTAAAAAAGGTAAGAGCGGGCAGAACAGACATGAAAATAAGTAGTTACAATCAAATTATAATAAAATGCAAAAATGTAAAATACTCAGTCATGAACAAAGCAAGAACGGACTGGAAGAAAATGGCAATTTATGAACTATCTCTGGAAATCATGTAAAATCAACAGCCAGTATGAACATGAACCCATCTCTCCTTTGGCCTCGATGATTTAGCACGAAGTAAAGAGGACAGTTCACTATAAATTGTGGCGGCCAGATGAATCAACCAAAAGGCAGTTGTTGGCAATAGCAAATTTAAATTTTAAAAATATATTAACTTGTCACTTTCTCAGTGACATTCTAGCCATAGAAATCTGTGGCAAATCAGTAGTTGACGCACAGTAAGATAACTACTATTTTAAGGTCAGAAGGAGCCAGTGGACTGGACCATGCCTATGATTCTGGGCCATTTCCTATCAACCCACATTAAAAGCCTAACTCAGGACAGAAACACGTATTTAGCACATAACATATCTGAGTATCTCCCTTCCTTTCATTGTAAAGTGTATGGTATTATTTTAAATATCTTGTGCTGTGCATTCCTTTATAGCAAACATTTTTTTTATGAAGGCTTTCCATGGAAAAAAAATGTTTACTATGCCAGATGTCCAACTCTGCAAGAGAACTACCATGGGGCATCTGCCTGTCGCGGACAGTCTTGATCTTGCCGTCACAGCCAGCTTTAAGCAAGGGCAAATCTATGTGAAAAAAATTCCATTAAGTAGTAGAGAAATTTTAAAGTAGCAATTTCTTAACAAAGGGATGCTGAAGCGCCTTTGAGAGTATTATATGAATTATGGACCCTGTCCCCATACACACACAAAGACTATAACCTCGTAGCCCATTTGTGAACTCCAGCGTCATGAGCCTTATTATATTTATATTCTATTGCAGGGTCTACAAATAACCAATTACTAGAAGATCAATTTCTTTTTTTTTTCTTCCTTTGTACAAAAAGTCTCCTTTCACTTTGAAATGTAAAGGAAATAGGGTTGCATTAATGATGGTTAGGTTTCCCAGGATTTTGTACTAAGGGCATACAGCACTTCCCAGCAGGGAACGGTGTTCCTCTATTATTTTTAATAAATCAATTTTATACCAAGAAAGGTGGATACAGCAATTCTTAGATTTTATGTGAAATATCTGGAATCATTCAGTTTTGGGATCTCAATTAATAATTTATTCTTTAAAAAAATTTGTTTTATTTTATCTTTTAATCCCCAGCTGAGGATGTTTTTTATTGCTTTTAGAGAGAGGGGAAGGGAGGGAGAGCAAGAGAAACATTAATGTGAGAGAGAAACATTGATCTCTTGCCTTCTTATTTGTGCCCTGACTGGGATTGAACCCACAACCTGCACATGCGCTCTGATTAGGAATCAAACCCAAGACCCTTCAATCTACAGGATGACGCTCCAACCAAGCCATACTGGCCAGGCTATTCTTTTTTTTTTGTTTTTGTTTTTTATTTTTATTTTTCATTTCTGTTTTAATTCTATTTTTTGGGTTTCTTTTTGTCAATTAACAATTTATGATCAGATTCAAAACTAATTATTGAGACAAGGAGGCCCAAGCAGGCAAAGGCCCAGCCCTTCAAAGGATACTGTAAGCAGGAAGCCCAGGACGAGAAGAAGTGTCTCCCGAGCGTGTCCCCATTCCGGGTGCACATCCAGCTGACACACTTGTCGTGACCAGTGCTGACCACCCACTCTGTGGCCAAGCTGAAGATAATCGCAGACACCCGGTTCTGATGAGCTGTACGAACAGAAAGGGAAAGTCTGTGCCCTCAGGAAGAAATGTGACCTTCAGAATCAAGTCTCCTAGGGTGAGCACTGAGGTTGACCTCCTCAGCCTGGCTGGCCTGGGGACACCCATCAGTCGCGGTACCCCATCAGATTGGGTACCCCAATCTGCCCTACCCCCGAAGCCCTGTCTCAGGCTTCCCACAGCCCTACCCTACGCCTCCCGGCCACACCCATAAGCTACGAATCATTAAAGAGTAAGGCTCAAGAGGGATTCCAATAATAGACTAAAGAACAGATTTTTACTTTGCGCTAAAAAACCTTAACTACCAATCAGTTCTATACGGAAAGCAGCAGTCTTTTCTTAAAAAGGCCATTTTTTAAATTGTCCATAATGTTAGTGTTCTGACCTTTCAGAAAACATTGGCATTGTAAACAACAGCAACTATAATCTTCTGAAATTAAGAAGTCGTGTAAGCAATTTGTGTGTAATTTTTATTATTTATAAAGAGAGAGCATTGTGAAATTCTATATTCCAGAGATAGCTAAGAATAAGTAGTGTTCTGTCTGTGACCTACCTTCTGGAATATTTGTGTTTCTGGGTTAATTGTAAGCCACACTAGGGCAAGTGACCTGTCTACTTCACCTGGTACAGTATCTTGCTTGGAGCAGGTGTTTAATAAATGCCCAGTCTGATGAATGAAGTCAGAGGCTGGAGAGAGAACCTCTAACCTTGCTCTCAGCTGTACAGACTGCTTCAGAAAAACAGAGGAACTCTCTTATAAATTAATTAGAAAACACTACAACTTCCTAGCAATATGGGCAAAAGCACGAACAGATACTCATAAAAGATGACCTAGGGTTGACATTACATAAAGTTTAATTCAAGCTTCAGAACAATTTTGATGATCAAACTGGCACAAAGCTTTTATAAACAGTAATGCCACAAAGGTTTCGAGAGCAGGCACTCTCTGCCACCAGCCTCAGGCTGCAAAATATACACAATTGCTGGGAAAAAGTTTGCAAAATAAATCTGGAGCATGAACATACTTTTTAACATTTGGACCACTTACTTTGCTTTTATGAATTTATCTTAAATAGAAGTAATTCAAGGACACACACAAATAGCTACATACACATATATGAAATATACACACTCACCGGTATGTACACACATACATACATATGCATCATCATACATTAGTGAGTGGGAGTTCTCAAAAAATGGAAGCAATACTCATGTTCAGAAATAGATAAATGATTAAATTAAATCCAATACATGTGTCCAAATGGAATGGTATACAAAATTTAAATGTTAATAAGCAGGAAAAGAATGGCAAATAACTCCAAAGAGCTAATAGCTTCTCACATAATTGGGGTAACAAAACTAAAAAATTAATGTGAATATCTAATTTTGCTCATAAGAGATGGTGCCCTAGTTTTGTGAGTGCAGATCTACATGTATTATGTATGCAAGTATGTGTGTATGTGTGTGTGTGTGTGTGTGTGTGTGAGTGAGTGTGTGTGTGCTATAATTACCTGGGTAGGTCTTGATAAAGTTCATTTTATTAAAATCTTCAGAAACATGAAATTCCTAAAAGTAAACATACGCAATAAGAAGACAGTTACAGTTTTAAAAACAATAGGAACTTAACTTTCAAAACAAAGTAAAATCCAAAAATAGCTGTCACTAGACCTGGGACTCCAGATCAGCTGTATAACAATGATACAAATTTGCTTCTTCCATCAGACCTGACCTCAGGCCGCCTTTTGTCAGGAGGGAAGACCCAGTAAAGAAAGGGCCCCTGGCCCGCGGAGCCCTTTTATCCAGCTTCCCTTCCCCCAGGGAGGGCCTTGAATTCCCTCTCCCTCTAACGGCAAAGGAAGTACCTTGTTAATTTTTCCCCCTTGGCTATGCCAAAAATTCCTCAAGATGACGTGTATATATAAAGCAAGACTGCAAGGACCCATTACTAACTGAGTACTCAGCTGCAGTGGAAATAAAACATAGGGTATTTCAGCAAGGTAAGGGGGGAATTATACATATTTAATATATGAACCTGCACAAGAAAAGGAAATTAAGAGGTTGTGGGTGGTATTCTTTTTTTATACTCTTGTAATTTTCAAATTTGATAGACTCTGTAAAACTTTATAGCTAGGAAAAAATTAAAAGTACATGTTTCTTAATGAAACAAAATGAGCTTCAACATATAAGCAAGATAAAACTCTAAAAAAAGAAGACCCTAATAAAAAATTCTATTGACCAATGCTAAATCGATAAGTTCTTAATGCTCTAAGTAACATGGACTTCATAAATTGTTGACCGCCCAGACTGGGAAAAAAAAAAAAAAAGAATACTAATTCCTTATTCCCCATCTTGGTTTCACGAACTACAAAAATGTCCTCGCATTTTATAGGTACTGATATCTGTATTGGATGGGAGATCAACAGATCAATAGCCGACTAGGGAGAGATTGGGTGTGCATTGCCCCTTTCTGCTGAAGAGCACTGAGAGCTTCCAGAGGCCACCCTACACCGTGTGCCCGCGCTCCAGGAGCCGTAAGAAGGGTCCCTAGGGAAAGAAATGCAAAGCCATTGCCACCAGTGGGGAACCTGTTTGAGGCCTGCAGCTCATGGCTCCTTGCTGTATCTGTCCATGCACTTCACCGTCATAATCCCGTAAAATTTTCAGGAGAAAAGCGAGAATGCTGGCACTTACCACTACATAATGTCGCAGCAGCCCCAAGCTCATGGGGCATCGACGTGATCGACCCCCTACCCTGCAGCTCCCAATTCCTCACTATCTGCCCTCTACTGAGTGTGCTGTTAGGGCCTGCATTTTACGGGCTCTTTCGTTCCTGGCCCAGAAAGACACAAACAACAAACGCAAACTGAAGAAGAAACAGATAATCTATAACAAATGAGGACATTAACTTAGTAGTCAAAACACTTTCCACTAAGAAAAACCCAGGACATCAGACAGTTTCTCTGGTAACTTCTCCCAAGCTGCAAGTCTGAGTCTATTACATTCAACATTTTTTTAAAAAAATTAAAAATGGGCAAAGGACTTGAATAGGTATTTCTCTAAAGGAAGATACACAAATAACCAGCGAGTCCATGAGATGCTCGCATCACTAATCATTAGGAAAATGCGAATGAAAACCACATGAGATGCCACTCCACACCCGCTAGGATGGTGAGAGTAAAAACAAAACAAAAACAAGAGAAAATAACAAGTGTTGGAAATGAGGTAGAGAAACCGGAATCCTTATGCGTTGGTGGTGGGGCCGCACAATGGTACAGCCATTCTGAAAACAGCTTGGTGGTTCCTCCATGAGTTAAATATAGATTTACCATATGACCCAGCAGTTCAATTCCTAGGTATACATACCCAACAGAACTTAGAACTTAGGTTCACACACAAACTTGCACATGAATGTTTGTAACAGCATGATTCATAATAAACAAAAAGTAGCAACAACCCAAATGTACATCAACTGATGAATGGATAAACAAAATGTGGTCTATCTATATAATAAACAAAAAGGAATGAAGTACTAATTCAAACTGCAATGCAGATGAACCTTAAAACATTATGCTGAGTGAGGGAAGCTACGCATTAGAGGCAACACATATTTTATGATTCTACTAACATAAAATGTCAGAAGAAGCAAATCCCTGGACTCAGAAAGTAGATTATTGATTGCCAGGAGTTAGGGGAAGGGGGAGTGGGGAGTAACCGATAACGGGCCCGGGGTGGCCTTGGGGGAGGGAACGTGATGGACATGTTCGGAATTAGAGAGTTAATGATTGCGTGATCTTGTCAACATACCACAAAAGCACAGAACTGCCCACTTTAAAATGGAGAACTTTATGGTATGAATTATATCTCAAATAAAAAAAATATATGCATACACCCATACAATCTGACCCACAAAAATACCAATCTATAATAAATGGGGAAATGTAAATAGCTGGTCCTTTACCAAAAATATCTTGAGAGGCACTGTCTTAGTTATACGAGTTGTCAGTTGAACGGTGAGCCCCTAACTTCATTCTCCTTCCCGTCTCTCTCTCTCTCTCTCTCTCTCACACACACACACACACACACACACACACACACACACACACACAGAGGCTCTGCACTGTGCTCTCCTCGCCTGGCCTCTCTCTGGCTCAGGCATGGGGACACGCATCCATCCATCGTGACAGCATTCTGAGTTCTACAGAGCTGGTTTAAAATTAAGCGCTCACTAAAATTTTAATCCATTTTTAGGTCTAACGCCTATACTGAATGCAACATTTTTTATGCTGTTCATTGTAAGCTTTATTTAAACTGACCAACAGACATGAGCATGGGGAGGTCAACATACGGCATACAGTCTGGAAGGTACCTACCACGACGGCTCCGTTATCCTGGCCCACAAATATCCGCCTGCTGTCGTGATGGTAAGTCATAGCAGAGCAAGGAGCTGCCAGAAAGACAAGGACCACATTACCCGCAAAGCTCAGTACTGTCATTGTTCAAAATCCATTGGTAAAAAGAGCTATGTGATTTACATTGAGAATTAAAACGGGCAAAATCCTTTTGTAAAAAAAAGTAATAATAATAATTGTAAACTGAAAATGCTATTCAAGTTCTTTCTGTTGTTTTCGTTTCAAATGCTCATACTTTAGGGGAAGCAATTCAGCACGAAGTCTCATCTCACTGAAACTCCTACCTCTTTCTGGGAAGGTCTGGGGGGACCAGCGCTTACAGTGGGTGATCTGCACCCCGAACTCAACCGGTCATCCTCCCCATCACAGGTGAGGAGCGCTGAGGTCTGTGGAAAGCAGGCTTCCCAGGACCAGACTCCGCATTCTAAGGTGCATCTGAGCAAGCTGAAGAAGCCACGTTGGAAGTCCTTTTACCCCAGTGGCCAAAAAAAATGTTCACTTGTGCAATGACACACAACCCCAGTGTGTAGTAAGTGAAATTGTGGGGTGCAGACGCTTTTCTTTGTCCATAACAGTGCCGTGTGACTGGGCAGCACCTGCTTCTTCTCACCTGCAGACCAGGTTCTAGCTGCCCTTCCAGGGAGCACGGGCCAGAGAGCGAGTTTCAGAAAGGAGGAACTCCACATTGTCTCCTTCTGCTACAAATCAGAACTCACATGATTTGGAAAATGGAACATTTGGAAAAAGAAATGTTGGGGTTTGTTTCAGCCTAAACAATTTTAATTGACCATGGGAGAACCACAAGGAAAAAAACAACAAATTTGAGTTTCCTCTGAAATAAAATTTCTTATGAAAAAGTGAAGAAAAAAAATCTTATATATGAAGCCACCATTTGAAAATTGTTTAATTTAATTTAAAGTTCTCTCTCTCCAACGGGCTGATGTTTTTCACCAAAGGAAGAAAATAAACTATTGTATAATACTGGATTGTACCCAAAGACAAGAACACACCTATAGAAAGAGATTGTTTGAGTCGCAAAGAACTATCTAATTGAGAAGGAGGTTCTACATTTGTCTGACACAAAACAATCGAGAGTGACAAGAAGTCTGTATGCCTTAATCTGCCACATTGGTGCTGAAACGGCAAAGAACAATCATGTTTAATAATCATAACCACAAAGACATGTACACCTTCATACACAGAGCTCTTTAATATCCATGCATAGAATTATCACTGACAAATCAAACCATGCTTTGATGCTTTCAAAGATTCACTGTCAGCATTTTTACCTACTTTTCAGTTGGTAAATCTTCATCTTAATGCTTTAAACTCCTTTTCAATTTTTTTGTATGCCTAACGCCCCAACAAACTGCACATAAATATGTAAGATCTTTCTTCTGTGTAAAAACACAATGTGCTGACTTATTTGATGAGGCTACAGAAGTCTTACAGATGAAACGAAAAGCCTCCCTAATTTATAATTTATTTGTTTTGCATATAAAGAGGTCTTGGCTGTTTTATTTATTTTTTTTCCTGGAAGAGAAGCTTCTATTGAGATAAGCAATACTTTTTTTTTTTTTTAAATTTCGCAATTCACATATTTATAAACAAACAAAAATACAAATCTCTGGCCTTTTCAAAAGGCATCGCTGCAGTCCAAAACCATATGCTTCAACTCTAGTTTTGTAAATAAAGTATTTTATTTTATTTTTTTGTTTTGCGGCAACAGAGCCGGGATCCTCCTTTACCATTGTTTCTGATTGCTTTTGTGCCACAAGGGCAGTAAGTTGAAGAGTTGCCACAGAGATTGTTTGGCCCACAAAGTCTAAATATTTACAGTCTGGCCCTCTTAGAAAAAGGTCACGGATCCACTCTGTCACTGCGGCAGAGGGCAGAGTTTTGGAGTCAGACAGACGTGGATGGACATTCCAACCACAAACATCGACATAACCCCTCTGGCCTCAGTTTCCCTAATGGGGAAAACATCACCTGTCTTCCTAAGTTGCTGTGATGATTCCATGAAATGACGTTATCTTTTTAAAGAGGCATTATACACAATAGACAGAGAAATGAAGTTACCACTTTTCTTCAGCTGAAGCAGAGCCTCAGTTATTTTTGTTATGGGAGATAATGTTCTGAAACGTAATTGGACTATGTATAGCAATATGCTAAGGTTTGGCTCATTGTCAGGTCATAGGCGAGAGTCTCAGTTGGTGGATGACCACTAAAATGTCCTAAATTGGGTAATCTACAGAAAGCTTTTAGTGCCAACACAGCATTTTTCTTCTCATATTTTGAATTTATTTTTGAAATAAAAGCCATTCTAAAACAGACAAGCAATTGTTTCTCACAATTCATTCACTGTTTTCTTCTGGCAATGCTTTTGCCATTTTATCGGCAGATTCATGTACAGATGGACGCAATAAAGAAGCTTCTGGAAGCAACAAGACAAATATGTGTAGGTACAAACATGCAGGTGTCGGCCACCAACAGCAGAGATGCTGGACCTGTTCTTTCCAGTTTTTCCTGGTCCTTTCAGCTCCAGTGTTCTGGGAACTACTTCCAGAGGGTACAAGTAGGTCAAGTTAGCAAGGGATGGCCTAAGACACGTGTCCAAGACCTAAGAACCAAGAAAGAGTCCCCACTTCTACTGACAGGCTTTGGTGCCCTCAGAGAGAAATTAATTACAATGCTATGTACTAAACATTTGGGGAAAATACAAGTCAAATAGTAACTGGACTAAATGTAGATCAAAATCCATCTCAGTCTATCTGTCTGTCTGTTTCTCTCTCTATTTTAATGAGCATGAACTCCAAGGCTGAGGACTCAAGGAGATCAAGCTGTGGTCTAAATATCAAGTAGAGGGGAAAAAAGAGATGGAGGAATCATGGCAACAGTTTTAACAAGATGGCCCACAAACACGAGGAAACACTTCCCAGAACTGGAATGGGTTCCTCAGTTAGGCTATTTCCAGCTATCAGATCTATCCTTGGGCCATTGGAAGGAGATACCAGTCTAACAGAAGCCCTTTCTTTAGTTGGGTAAATGGTCAGCTCAAAGGCCCAAGATGTCTCACCCACCACTGCCCCCCACTAAAAAATCCCAAAGTAAATTTACTAAATGGGCTCCACGAGGACCTTTATTAAGACATCAGCCACTTGGTATTTCAGGGTAGTAACCCAGGTCATGCATCAACAGCACATGGGAAACAGGAGATACTACTGCTTCGCACAATAAATTATGATGAGATTTTCTTCTAATGTGCTCCATGTAATAAGGTTCTATGGCGCCCTTTATAATAGCTATCCTTACACCAGTAGTCCAAAGTGTCTACTTCATTTTTATTGAACAGTTATCAAGACAGAGAAACTGAGGAGCCTGTGCAAGCCATAGGTGGAAGATAGAACAAATGAAAATCCTGATAAACTCCTCAGGTTTTGTAGTGACTGATCACAGGGTCTGACTGATCACAGGGTCTGACTGATCACAGGGTCTCAACAATGCAGGTAAACGTGCGCATGAGAAAGTGCTGGCCCAGAAAGGAGACGCCGGAGAGGACGACTCACACTGATTGTAGGGAATCTGCTGCATGATTGGCTGCTCTGAGTGTATAACAAACTCCACTGCCTTTGGAACAACTCTTAAGAAGGTTGTCACCAGGGTCTGCAACAACTGGCAAGAGGTCTTCCTTGGAGAACTTCATAATGGTCTTCAGAAGTAAAACCATCCCGCACGCCCCAGAGCCCTTATCCTTTTCCCAGGGGGTCCTCTAAATATTGGAACCCTTAACTGTGCAAAATCTCTCATTAGGGACGAAAACCTCAATGAAATCAGCAGCTGTGGATGGCCTCTGTGTGGCCACTGGGGACAGCAGGGTTCAGGCACAGCTGGGGCCTGGGGGGGATCCCGGCGCCTCCACAGCCCTTCCTTTTGCAGAAAGCGGGGAGCCAAGAAGTGGGAGGGGAGGGTGGCAATCAGATCTGCATGAGGGGCCAGCATCTAAACGCAAGTTTCCATCACTACAGCCCAGGGCTGTGCTAAAAACCGCAGTGCAAACGACTGATCTTTCAGATTTATTTTTAGAGCACACTTAGCTACTGAGAAAACTGTCTGGTTAGAATGTGCTGTACCTTGAATCAAATCTCTCCTTGGAACCCAGAGGTTTGTGAAAAGGGTGGGCAAAGGGCCAGCTGTCAGTGTATGGGAGGGCACAGAACCCTGCTTCAGCATCAGTACCAGCCATTGGTGGGCACAAAGTCACCCGAGGACAGGCTGGCCAAATGAAGGAAAACTGCGGGGAAGAGGTGAAAGGGCATGCCCTTTCCTCTTTTCTTTTTTCAGTTTTGCTGAAGTTTGCTGCAGTTAAGCCAGGAGACCTCACTTGCTTTGCAAAAGAAAAAGAGTTTTCCTGCAGTTAGGCACAGCCTGTCGGAGGTGTGAGGCAACTAGGAAGCTCATTCTGAAAGCTAGTAGCACTTTTTAATCAGACATTTTGAAATTTCAATCACCAAAGACATAAGAGACATTTTCCTCTAGTGGAACAGTGACCGCTACTTACAGGCCATTGTGTGGTAAATGCTGGGCCAGTACTGGCCGCTGTCTCTCTTCAGCCATACTCGGATGGTTCTATGGAGAAGAGAAAAGGAAAAAAAAGTAATTTTACCTTCTTTTATGCTCCCGTAAAACTTATTTTATTTGCAATACTATGTCTCGACTAACCTTATAAAGTTAATCCTCTGGACAAACGCATGTTACAGGGGTGGGCAAAAGTAGGTTTATAGCTATGAGTATGCAAAACAGAGTTAATAAAGCTACAGTCATAATCTTAATCTGCACATTGTTTTCCATATGAACCAGCTGTAAACCCACTTTTGCGCACTCCTGTACATTCACACACATTCATACAGTATGTAGTACATTTATATATAGTTCGTACTCTATATATGCACACACATATTATATATAGTTACGTATAGTATGACCATAAGTGGTAAATTATGCAGTAGCCAGAAGTCAGGACTTCAAATAACTGTAACAATGAGGAAAATGTGCATTATCTAGTGGCCTAATACAAACAAAACTGAGGATTATTAACTGCTTTTCTTGGTAAAAACAAACTGTCAATTTGGTCGCTTGACATCTGAGCCAAGTGAGGCGAGCGGTGGATACACACGGAAGGAAATGTTTCTGGAACCGAGAGACGGTGCGCGCGAAGCAGACCCCACGCGGCGGCGCACGCACCCACAACTCACGTCCCCAGGCTGCGGGAGGAAATCGGTCCACACCCGGCCTTAGGACCCCTGCTCTCATCAGAGAACGTGCAGGAAGACGAGGAAATCCGGTGCACAGGCAGGAAAATGACAAATCACCACCCCAGCCAAAGTTTAGTATTCTGGCTTATTGCTGCAGGGACTACGGCGACCCGGCCCGTCCACTCGCAGCCCTGCGCAGGGCGCTCGCCTCTGCCCCTCCTGCGTCCCGGCCTGGCTGCCTCACCTGGCCCAGCTGCCTCGCCTGGCCCGCCTCCCCCGGCCCAGCCCAGCTCTGCTCCCGCAGCGACTCCTGTCTTGCGTCCCTCGCTGACAGCCCTGTCGCCGTCATTCCTGAACCCCTAATAGCAACACAGATTTGGGCACACAACCAGCACTGGATGACTGTTTACAACCTTGAACCAAAATAACACGAGGACTAAATGTTGACACTGTATGTGACCATTCTAACCGACGTTCACAAGTAAGACTGGTCCGTGAGGATAAAATGTTTGCTTTTGTGGGAGGACACATTGCAAAGGAACAGCAGGGAGTGAGCTAGGACAGTGAGTGGCAGGGCTCTGGGGAGCTGGTTCCGTGGGTGTTTGCATTTGTCAGAACCTGTCCAACTGTACTGAAGACCTGCACAGAATACTGTATGTGATTAGGCTGTAATAAAAGAAAACAAAGACGAGATGTTGACCTTCATTCACCCACATCAATCAGGTGACCCGGCAGCACGATGCTATTTTCTGCGTGAACTGGACGCGGCCTTACTGTAGGGGCGGGTGTCCCTGCGATGCGCCCTCTCTTCCGGCCACTGCTGACGGGTCGCAATGGAACTTTTGCCAAGCTGAATCACCCAGAATTCTGCTTTACATCCTACCCCTGATCACAACCGGCTAGACCAGAAATGGGTGTCTGACCCTAGGTGGAGAAATTGGTTCCTTCCCTGGAAAATCAGAAACCAGGAGAGAGAAAAATAGATCGGTGCTTCTCCAGTAGTTGAAATGGCTGTTTCTGGCCATATGGTTTGCATTTGGGACTGGAGGACCGTGAGGGAAGCTGCTCTATGGAGAGGAGCAGAAATGAGCTGAGGAGAGTCGAGGGGGAAAATCTGTCATGCCACCTGCATTTGCGACCGACCTATATCCTTAGCCTTGGGTTCTGTGAGGCAGACACTCCAGCCTCCTTACTATAAACACCCTCTGCCGGAGTTATTTCTGTTGTCTGCGATATGCAGGTACTAATATACTAATATACTATGTCTACACAAGACACCAAGAAATATCCCAAACGTGAGCTCTTCTTTCAAACGCCATTTAAAAAGGTAAGATAATTTGGCGGGCCTTTTTTTGAGGTAACTATATTGTGACAGGAAGTTCAAGAAAGTCCAAGTTCACATCCAAAATTAAAGGACAGAGAGAGGGAGATCAGAGTAAAGCATGTATGAACAGACTTATAATTTTTACAGTTTGTAATTCACCATCTTAATTTAAAATTTAATACTTTTTGAGGTAATGTTTAAATCACTCCGTCATTATTTGTGGGTTCTTGGTTACTGTTCATGATTACTTGGCTTTCTTCTTTCACAAACCTCAGATTAAAACTCTTCCACGGTATGCCTCTTTCTAGTTTTGAACCATTTAAATCAAGTTATAAAAAATACTTAAGGGCATGAGAAAATATTCACGATGTGACAGTTAGTGAAAGCCTGCATAAAACTGATAGGTGCAGTATGATACCAACCTTATTTTAAAATGCAATCTGACCAAACCTCTAGATCCAACTACCGATTTATAGGAAATACAGGGAAACATAATGACCATAAAGCCCACAGGAGGGCTTTTAGCAAAACCTGAGACTGCAGGAAAGCCTACAAACAAATGACCCAGTTTCTTCTGGAAATAATTTGCAAGGGAGGGAAAAAAGAGATGGAGGACCAGCCTGTGATTAAAGAGGTTTAAGAGGCATATCAAGCAATCACCACACATGGACTTCTTTGGATTCTGATTCAGTCAAACTATTAAATACACATATATCATTAGGAAACAACTGAAAATACGACACTGACGAGATACTTCGTGATTTTTGCCTTGTTTGCTCTTTAAGAAGAAGCAATAGTTCCCAAGTCAGACGCTGCCCTTGTTCTCTGTTCTCAGCATGCCCACCACAGAGTGGCTTCCTCGCAGGTTCCCTGGGCTCTTCCCCCGTCCACCTCAGGCCTGTCAACCAACAGCTGCATCTCCCAAGGAGCCATGCATCCCGCTGCCCCTGTGCTCAGAGCCCACCAGGGGCTGGTTGTTTCAAGTCAGGCATTCAACGGACGCACTTAGTGCCTGTGACTCCCCGACGCAGGCCCTGCCACCCAGGGAGAAGGTGACCCTCAAATGGGCCAAATACCTGGAGCACGGGGTATGTTCTAAGCCCTCCTCTCGCACCCAGAACTTTTCTCTTCAGGAAGTCGTTTACCTGGGCCCATCGAAGGAGGGGTACCACTGCAGTATGACTCCATCCGTCATCAAAAATAATCAGCAGACACTTACAGTGATGATTCCTGAGGCCTGAACCACGAACACTATACTACATTTTGTTGACTATATTCTGTTACTTATGGATTCCTTTTATTATTTACGATCAACGTAGGAGATGAAGCCAAAGGAGTTGTAATGTGTGAAAGGCCACCTCCCCTCGAAGCATTGAATCTGTCAAGGATTCTGCTCCATTTCCAGAGACAGGGAAAGCCCAGGCATTTCAAGAGCATGGCATTACGCCCTGCCTCATCAAGTTCACGGGCCCTCCCTCACACAGAATCGCAAAGGGGTTGAGCCTGCTGGCTACCTGGCTGTTAGGTTTTTTTAAGTGTCTACACAAGAGAATGCCGATGAATTCTAAAACCCTTCATATCACCCCAAAAGTGTGGGTCATGAAAAGCGCGGGTAGGGAGCGCAATGGTGGACGCAGGGCCACGCGCTTGTCCCCGTGTCCCCCTGAGAGAAGACCAGGTGTGGACAGCAGAGAAGTCGCTGTGTGCAGGGAATCTTAAAGGGCGTCCCTTCCAACCAATCACCGAACCTGGAAGTCAAATTTTAATTTCCCGCAGCAGCAGAATGATACTTAAACTGGCCCAAGGTCAAAGTGGAACCTGCCTAGACCCCAGAATTTTTGAAACATAGTATTCTTTCCTTTGGAGGGCAAATCAGTACCATAACTTGGTCTGTACACAGCTGACACACCAAGAAATTAGCAAGACTTACATGATCTCTTGGGGTGTTTCATTTGAAAATTGTTCATCTGTCTAGGCTGAGAGAGTCCTTGCTTGGGAGTCAATTTCCAAACTAGATCCTTGTCGTTCATAGTCAGCTCTTCCTCTGTATTCACTCTTCTATCTGGAATTCCTTTCCTTTAATTTTTCAAGCCATATTCTTTCCCTTCCTTAGACAATGCATTAAAATCTCCCGCTTCCAAGGTTAAATCAAAACAAAATGTTAGGTGTGCTCCTTAACACACCAACACTTCTAGGAACCTATCAAAGTTGTGTAATTTCTACTAAGTAACACAGGAATTTGTTGTGCATTTTCTTCAGAACATGCCTCGTTGATTTAACAAAAGGTTATAAAAACAGGCTTAAGTTGGGCTGCTTACTAAAAAGTCAACAAATTCCACAGACAAAAAAATGTGCTATTCAGTAAACTGGAAGCAAAATCTACTATTCAGTAAGTTGAAAGCCACACAATACAGTTCAGTAATATTTTACAGGAGCAAACCGTGAAAAACTTTAGGATAATATTAATAAACCATATAATCACAAAAGTGTCAAGATCAGATGGTTTTATTTGTACAAAAACCACAATATTTTCTGCATAGATGAGTATCTAAGCTGCTCTTTTCACTAAGATAAAACAGCTTAACTTTTCCTTCAATATTTTGACAACTTTACACCCACTCAAACTCATTTTGTTTTTCTTGCTGTTACTCTATCCATTTTTCTAGTGGATGGATTTTCTTTGATATTCTAAGACCATGTCCATCTGAAAAAAAAGTCTTCTCTTAAGCCAAAACCTGAGAATCATGTTCATTCTGTGCCAAGCTCTATTTTTTAGTAATTTAAAAACAACAATCTAATATTTTTCCAAAAGCCACTTAGACAGGAAATGTGTCATTTCTTTCAGGGCCTACATAAATGTTTTTCAAACTTTCCCGTGCTGCTAATATCCTTGCAAAGGGCTCTACCATCAATCTCCTTGGCCTCACACATAGGGCAGACTCACACATAGCGGCAGTATCTTCCATGGACACACAAGGAAAGACATCTCTACATAATGTTATATATACAAGGTCTGTCTGGAAAAAGTCCAGCCACTGTTAATATAAGAA